GTGCCGTGGGGCAGGAGGCAGGGCCCCGCACAGGCTGATTTGCTTTGATCCCTGCACCCTGCTCGGATCATCCCGGGGGGGCGGAGGGGGAGGTGCAAATGCAGGTGATGGCCACCAGGTGCCGGAGACCCTGGGTACACCACTGAGGTTGCCCCTGGGATCTCATGGGTGCACCTCTAAGTAGGGAAACCCCAACTACTGAAGCATGCCCGGGAGATCCTGGGAACATCTCGGTAAGTGCGGAAAAGTTGGGTCCTCCCAGGGCTTGAGGTGCCCGATCCTGCACAGGATGGGGCTCTTCAAGTCCTAGGAGAACGTCACCCTTTGTCCTGCAGCATCAACAGGCAGGGCAATGGATGACGTGTGTTTTATCTCTGGTACTTATGTAAAAATCTTCTCTTCCAGGTCAGGTTGTAGGGTTGGGAACTACCTGTTCATGTAAGAGAAGGCAAGGTGGTAATATGTGCAACAAAGGGGTCAGAAGATGTCTTCCTTCCTCCCCCCCACTTCCACAAGTATTAGAACAATAAATTTATGCAGTTTTAAGACGGACGTTTTTTGAACCTCTGAAATTCTTGAAACTGGTTGAACACCCAGCAGGCTACACATTCATATCACCTAACTAGAAAAAAGTTTACACCTTTTTACACCCTTGAATTTCTGGTAGCAAAATGCAGAGCAACAGTGCAAAAACTAGGAAATGTTTTGTTCCAAATAAACCCTTTTTTGAGTTTCCAGCAAATGACTAGAGGTTGTTTTCAGTTGAAACTCAAACTCTCTATAGGATCCTTTAATATAAATCGGGGGTTACCTATGAAGGTGGTCGTAAGTGCAGATCTTACTGCGTACCACATTTCATTGCAAATGTTCTCGCAGATCCTTGATACTGCAAGGTGCAGCTCTTCTGGAGGCAGGGCTTATAAACGGAAATTATAAGATACTATAGTTCTCTTTTTCTAGGGAAGAGAAAATGATATTAATGAAAAAGTGAATATGAAATGGATTTTTCTTTTCTTTTTTTAACAGCTGTTACTTCTTACGAAGATCTTGGCCTCTTTGCATTTGGGTCACCCGGGAAGGTAACATTTTTATATATTGTCCATCTAGCTCTTTGTTTTTATTATAACTCTGAGAAACACTTTGTTGATGCATAATTGCCATTCAGGAAACAGAAATGGAACAGAAATTTAGTTCATCTTAGAGCAGCTGTCCTTAGTGATGGTGGCTTATTCTGTCTAAACGTGAAGAAATCTTTGTTATTGTCTGGTTTTGTGCTATTTTCTAGATACAGTACTGGTATTTGTCACTCCACGCTAGTTTGCATTACCAACAAATCAGCTTAATACACCACTCCTAGTGTTATATGCTGACATTCAGATTCTTTATAGTATTACCCCATAACCTATTTAGAGACCTTACCAGTGATTTATCACAGTGCTTTGATCCTTAGTAAGAAAACTTAGTTAAGTGTAAATGCTAGATGTAAGTTGAATATTATAATTATAGTTTCATAGAGTTTCATAGTTTCATAGATTAAGGGTCAGAAGGGACCTAGTAGATCTTCTAGCCCGACCCCCCGCCAGGGCAGGAGAACAACAAAAACCCCAAAAACAAGAAACGGGACTCAAATGAGTCCAGCCAGGTAGGCATCCAGCCTCTTCTTAAAGACCCCCAGGGTAGGGGCCAGCACCACTTCCCTTGGAAGTTGGTTCCAGCTCCTAGCCGCCCTAACTGTGAAGTAGTTTTTGCGGATGTCCAGTCTATACCTCCTCTCCATCAACTTGTGCCCATT